TGTGTAGCACTAAGTACAGGATAGAGTTGAGGCTGTAACTCTGAGTCCATGGGGGCAGGTGAAGGTGGGGAGCCTTCTGCCTCATAATTATAGTGCTAAAAATTGATAAAGGTTTTGAATCAAATTGTCACAAATGCCAGCTTTTAGCTGAATCATCTTCCTTCCAGGGCTGTTGAGGGTGTCAAATGCAACTACTGGGTCTGCTTTGAAGCCCATGCTTTTCTCAGGATAGCGTTTCATGGTTTTTATTCCTTGCTGTGCTTTTGATGTGGTAAACACAGTGATCTGCATATCCTAATTGGTGATGCTTTCTAATAATATTGCTATCTGGGTTTCCATAACAGTTTTTCTTTGAAAAGTGTTGTGGAATCTGTGGCAAAGGGAAGTGTATTGCCTTTCTGGCTCTGTGACAGTGAGGGTTTTTAATCTGATTCATAACCTTTTACAAACAGCTCCATCCTGACCAGACCACTGTATTTGTTGACCTGTTCAATTCATTAATGTTTCACATCAGGCCTAAGTGCCTGCAATGGGGAAATGACAACAAGTAAGTAGGAGTGACCGCATTAACTTGGCTAGCACTGCTAACAAATGGCTTGGCATTATGGACATTTGCCCCATGGAAACCTGTCTACCTGAGGGCAGTAACATAATCTTACCACTGGCTGCCATGGAGCTTTATGTACTCTACCACTTTGTGCACTTGCAAAGCACCCCAATGCTTTTCTAAGTACTATTTTTAAGAGATTTATTTATTTATTTATTCGAAAGGCAGAATGACAGAAAAAGGGGGGATGGGGAGAGAGAGAGAGAGAGAGAGAGAGAGAGATCTTCCATCTACTGTTTTATGTTCCAAATGCCTGGAAAGGCCAAGGTTGGGCCTGGCTGAAGCCAGGAGCCAGGAACTCCCTCTGGGTCTCCCATTTGGGTGGTAAGATTCCAAATACTTGGCTGTCATGTGCTGCCTTCCTAGGCACATTAGCAGGAAGCAGGATTGGAAGTACAGCACCCAGAACTTGAACTGGCACTCCCATACAAGTGGCAGCTTAACCTCCTGTGCCACAAGTACTATTTTTTTATGCCAAAATAACATTTACTTGTATATGGGATTCATCTTTGACCTGACTTATTTATCATCACATATCTGTAATGTAAGAAGTAGAATTTTTTAAAAAAGATTTGTTTATTTGAAGGGCAGGGTTACAGAGAGGCAGAGAGAGAGAGAGAGAGAGAGAGGTCTTCCATCCGCTGGTTCACTTCCCAAATGGCTGCAATGGCTGGAGCAGGCTGATCTTAAGTCAGAAGCCAGGAGGTTCTTTCAGGTCTTCCACTCGTGGATGCAGGGGCCCAAGCACTTGAGCCATCTTCTGCTGCTTTCTCAGGTGCATTAGCAGGGGACAGGATCAAAAGTGGAGCAGCCAGGACTCAAACCAGTGCCCATAAGGATGCTGGCACTGCAGTCGGAGGCTTAAACTATGCCATGGCACTGTCCCCAAGAAGTAGACTATTTCAGGGTTTAGTTTCAGGAAGCAGAAACCTTACTAATTATTAAAAAAAGAAAGACAATTATAGGGAGTTAGGTCCTTATAAAATTAGGATAATGAGCTCAAGGTTGGGCTTACAGGAGCCTGAAATTTTAGGGTACACTTTATCAGGAAGGTGGGGAATTAGGAGACTGCTGTGGAATTGTAGAATTCAACAGCTTACCACAGTAGCCTCCCCAACTGCTCACTGGAAATCTGCTGCAGAAAAACCCACTATCTCCCCTTCTGAGGAAGCAAGGTGATTGCCTCTCCTCCTTTTCACCTTCCAGCTCTCCCATGATTGCATCTAATTGGTGGTTCCTGATTCCAGACTTTGTTGCAAAGGAGTTTGGTGGGAATAAAGTTTTTTGCTTTCTAGCTTCTGCGGTGCTAGAAGGCATACTAGAAGGAAGTTGTGATGGGTGTTGATTGCTAAATCACCATTTCTTTTATTTTTATTTTTTGACAGGCAGGGTTAGACAGTGAGAGAGAAAGAAACAGAGAGAGAGAGAGTTATAGAAGTGAGAGAGAGACAGAGAGAAAGGTCTTCCTTCCATTGGTTCACTCCCCTAATGGCCGCTATGGCTGGTGCTGTGCCGATCCAAAGCCAGGAGCTGGGTGCTTCCTCCTGGTCTCCCATGTGGGTGCAGGGACCCAAGCACTTGGGCCATCCTCCACTGCACCCCCGGGCCACAGCAGAAAGCTGGACTGGAAGAGGAGCAACCAGAACTAGTACCCGGCGCTCCAACCGGGACTAGAACCTGGAGTGCCGGCACCGCAGGGCAGATTAGTCAAGTGAGCCATGGTGCTGGGTGCTAAATCACCATTTCTATCTCATAACCTAAAGAAGCAAAACCGTGTAGCAGGATAAGAAATTTGTGAGTTCTCCTTCTCTTCCTAATGACCTTTGACTTCCATTTAGATGAGTTTTTCTTACTGAAGAAAAAATAGGCTGGCGCCTTGGCTCAATAGGCTAATCCTCCACCTGCAGTGCCAGCACACCGGGTTCTAGTCCTGGTCAGAGCACCGGATTCTGTCCCGGTTGCTCCTCTTCCAGTCCAGCTCTCTGCTGTGGCCCGGGAAGGCAGTGGAGGATGGCCCAGGTCCTTGGACCCTGCACCCACATGGGAGACCAGGAGGAAGCACCTGGCTCCTGGCTTCGGATCAGCATGGTGCGCTGGCCGCAGTGTGCCGGCCATTGGGGTGTGAACCAACGGAAAAGGAAGACCTTTCTCTCTGTCTCTTTCTCTCTCACTGTCCACTCTGCCTGTAAAAAAATAAAAGAAAAAGAAAAAATAACCAATGATTCTCCAGTATTTTTTCTACTGTTTTTCTGAAATTGTTTGGCATTGTCACAGCCTTTCACCAGATGTTGACTGAAGATGCAATAATCAAGGTCTTAGAGATTCTCCATCTCCTTTTATCTTCTCTACCAAGAGTTGCTACTGATTTCTCCAGTGGCTCCTACTTATTTCCATTTCATGCTCTCACTTTGTTGCTTTGGCGGGATTGTGTTGTGTGGTTTCTGTTTTCTTTCTGGAAGCCATCTTGGGGACTTTGTTTCTAGGCTTAGCAACCAGAGGAACACTTACTCAAACGCCTGCTCCTATATTTGTAATCACAACCTGAGTATGTCACCTGAACCCAGTCATCTAGGAGGGAGTTGGGCCAGTAACTGGTTGAAATGTTTTGTTATAAAAATTTCAAATAGAGCTAACTATGTCAGTTGAACAAACTGAAACATTTAAGGACTACATTTCCCATTGCTAAGCTGCCCTGATCTTGCTAGAATCAGCACTTAGCATGGTCACGAAGTAGGCATGCAATATTGGTTGAATTAATCACAGATTAATGATCATGAAGCCACATTTCCAGACTTACTAATTTCTTTTTGTAAATAAGAGTTATACTTTAAATTCATTCATCATCCTTTGGAGTGCAACCTTAGAAAGCACTATTTTCAAGTTTTCTGACTATACAGTTTGGTTCAATTACAGAAGAGAATGATTAAGCTATAGATCAGTCAGAGCTCTTTGGTAATTTATTGGTTCACATAACTGAAAGGCCAGGGACAGTCTTCAAGGGCAGCTAGTCAGGGCTCATGTGATGTCGTTAGAACCAGTCTGTTTTTTTTTTTTTTTTTTTTTTTGCCTCCAGTGGTGATCTAGCTACCTTCTACTAGATTTGATTTATTGTTGGGCTGCACATCAACTAGAAGAACACATCAAGCTAATGCCAAAGTCATTAGAAAAAAGTTCACTTTGTTTCTTTCCCCTTAACATAAGCATAAGTCCAATATCTGAACCTCCTTATTCCTGATGATTGGCCTGATAGAGATCTTGTGTCTGTGAACCAATCAATGGCTTGGAAAGTAAGGAATGCTCTGACTGAGTTAGTTTTGATCTAAAATTGTACTTCCAAATTAATGTTTTTCACTACTATTTTGGGTTTCAACACCTGCCTCATAGTCTGGGTAGGTTGAGCCAATTTCTTATGTGTAATTTGATATGCAGGGATAACCAGCTTCCAAAAGTAACTGGTGATGGGAATTTTTGTGCCAAATATTCATTAGGACTATTATCAGAGAGATTGTAAATCAAAGTTTGGACATGTGGTTTGGCAGTAACTGTCTGAGTAAAATATCTGGTATAGTTTTGACAAAGTTGTTCCCCAAATCTATAATTCAGAAGGTTCCCAGGAGCGTTCCCATTGACATTGAGTAGGTGAAACCAATCAAAGTGGCAGGAACAATTGGGAATATGTAGCTGTTGATTTATTAATTTAACACATATTTTTGGAGTTTCTGTCCTGTGTCAGGAGTTGTGCTAAGTTTCTGTGGAAATTTAAAGAAGAGGGGCCAGCACTGTGGTGTAGTGGGTAAAGCTGCTGCTTTTAGTGCCCGCATCTCATGTGGGTGCCGGTTCGAGACCTGGCTGTTCCACTTCCGATCCAGTTCTCTGCTATGGCCTGGGAAAGCAGTAAAAGGTGGCTCAAGTCCTTGGGCCCCTGCACCCAAGTGGGAGACCTGGAAGAAGCTCTTGGCTTCTGGCTTCGGATCAGCGCAGCTCTGGCCATTGTGGCCATTTGGGAAGTGAACCAGTGGATGGAAGACCAATCTCCCTCTCTCTCTCTCTCTCTCTCTCTCTCTCTCTCTTTCTCTCTCTCTCCACCTTTCAAATAAACAAATAAATCTTAAAAAAATTAAAGAAGAACGAACAGGGACCCTGTATACAAGGAGCTTATCATCTACAGGAGATAAGCTTTTTATACAAAGTAGCAATGTCCTAAAAGGAACATGAGAATTCAGAAGGGGAAAGGATTTGTTCCCTCTGGGATCTGGAATCTGAGATGACTACATGTGGAGATGGCAGTTGAAATAAGCTAAGGAGTACATGAGTATAATGGGCTTTGACATGTAGAAATTGTCAGAAAAAAATAAAGGCCTTAATAACTATTATAAACCATTATATCTTTTAGAGAATGACCACAGGGAGGCTGGTGCCATATTCCTTCAGGTATGTGGACAAACAAGTATTTGTTTGTCAGCTGTTTTATTCCTTACATATTATGTATGTTATATATTACTAACTGTAAAAGGAACAAAAGAAATTACGTGCCACATATTCTGATGCTTTACTTTATCTGTATGCTGTGACTTTGTTGAAGCTTTAACTCTTTAAATCTTCCTACATGTGGGGATATATAGGAGCAAGGTAGTGCTTCCATCAATAATTAATGTGAAATAGCTTGAACCACTTCCCCACATGGAAAATGCATATAAATAAAAGGGGACAAGATCTAATAAGCAGCTCTAATTAAGTTCTGCTTGTTTTACCTCGTGTTCATGGCCATTCTTGAAATTCAGGTGGGTGGTTCTCATTTAGGACTCCCTGCCCTTAGTCCTGTTCCCTTGTGCTGTTCTGCATCTTGCAGGGTAACATTTCAAACACATCCAACCTGATGATGTTGCTCCCTGCTTTAGAATGCTTCAATTACTCTTCAGATAAAAATTTGAATTCCATTATATGATTTGCAAAGACCTCATGATCCTTTTACTTTTTTAAAGATTTATTTATTGAGCCAGCACTGTGGTATAATGGGTTAAGTCTCTGCCTGCCATGCAGGAATCCCATATGGATGCCAGTTCAAGTCCCAGGTGCCTCTCTTCTAATCCAGCTCTCTGCTATGGCCTGGGAAAGCAGTGAACTGATCTAAAAGTTGAACCGATCTAAATCCAGGCAGGCGGTTCCTCTGGGTCTTCCACACAGGTGCAGGGGCCCAAGCACTTGGGCCATCTTCCACTGCTTTTCCAGGCCATTGGCAGGGAATTAGATGGGAAGTGGAGCTGGCACCCATATGGAGTGCTGGCACTCAGGCAGCAGCTTTACCCACTTTAACACAGTGCTGGCTCTCTTCATGATCTTTTATGAAAGTTGATGTGTGTTATCAATATGTCTAATATAATATAAGCCAATGAAAAGAAATCAGTTGAATGTTGTTGTGGGTAGTTGGCAGTAATAGATATTGTGTGATAACACATTGACTCTGTTTTTTTTTTTTGTTGTTGTTGTTAGAGTTCATTTATTTGAAAGGCAGAGTTACAGAGTTACAGACAGATAGAGGGAGAGACAGAGAGAGAGAGAGATCTTCTATCCACAGGTTCATTTCCCAAATGGCCATGACAGTTGCGGCCAGGCTGAAGCCAGGACTCAGGAACCAGGAACTCCATCAGGGTCTCCCATGTGGGTAGCAGAGGCCCAAGTACTCAGGTCATTTGCTGCTTTCCCAGGCGTATTAGCAGCCAGGACTAGAACTGGCACTCCAATATGGACTATAAGCACTGGCTTAACCTGTTGCACCATAATGCAGTCTGGAGTGCAGATTCTTGTTTTGGTTGCTTTACTTCTGATCCAGCTTCCTGCTAATGCTGGGAAATCAGCAGAAGATGGCCCAAGTGCTTGGGCTCCTGCCACCCATATGGGAAATCCAGGATGGAGTTCCTGGCTCCAAGCTGTGGCCTGGCCCAGCCTGGGCCATAACATTTAGGAAGTGAACCAGTAGATGAAAGATTCTCTCTCTCTCCTCTCTACTTGTCTCTCTTTGTCTCTGTCACACTGCCTTTCATATACATTAAAACTTTTTAAGAAGTCATCTTAAAGGGCACTATCAGGAGAATCTTGCATAAGGGCCTGTAATATAGAAGCTAGCAAAAGCAAGTTTTATTGTGAAGAACAAGAACTTTTATTTAAATGGTTGAAAAACATTTCCATTCAATTTCAATGTCTTTAAATGATTCATTTCCTACTGTTAATAGCAGCAATCCCCATGGTGAGTAACATTCTTGTTAAAGTTATAATAGATCTCTATTCACTCATTTAACAGCTTGAAGTTACACTTTTTAGACAGTAGGACTGGTAATTAATCTTTGCTGCAACATTTATTCAATGACTTGTGAGAAAGCAGGATTTTTTACGTTTATTGTTACAGTTGGTGAATCCATGGAATTGCTACCATATGTATTAGAAGAATGTTACATTTTCTTGAAAGAAAATCTTTTCTTTACCATTGTAAATCCTGACTGTGGCACATGGAAAGACTTACTATTTTTACATGTCAGTACTTGAACATGTGTCAAAATGTTGTTCTCATATTCAGCAAGGGTGTTTTTATATACTAATAGTTTAAATTAAATTCCATATTCAATAATCTCAGTTATAATCCATTTCTATCACATAAAAATTTCACATATTATATGAGTTACCAGAGAAGTATGTTAGCTGAACTGGGTATTTATAGTACATTAGTTTACATTCAATATTCATTTTTCACTGAAGCCTCATAATATAAATATCCCTTATAGATATTTTCCTAATTCAATAATTATTATTCATTTTAAAAGAGAAAGAGAGGGCCGGCGCTGCAGCTCACTAGGCTGATTCTCCACCTTGCGGCGCTGGCACACGGATCTGCGCAGCGCGCCAGCCGCGGCAGCCATTGGAGGGTGAACCAACGGCAAAGGAAGACCTTTCTCTCTGTCTCTCTCTCTCTCACTATCCACTCTGCCTGTCAAAAAAAAAAAAAAAAAAAAGAAAGAAAGAAAGAAAGAGGGGTGAAAGGGGTGAAAGATGTTAAGTGGCTTTCCAGGGCTGTAGAGCTAAAGGGGAAGATATTAAGAATGCTGATTGAGTCCTTATCCACTAGACCAAACTGTTAGTATATAATGATATATAACAGTTGCTAACCTTTTGGGGTCTCTGGGAAACACACATGTGCATATGAAAGGGGGAATGTTCTACAATCAGTACAAAGCTAAGCCAAATTTGATTAAGGGAGAGCTCATCAACAAGGAAGGCAATGATAACTACAGTATTTTCCACTGAATTATCTCAGCATGCTTACAAAGTATTATGACAAACATTATAACTTCCTTTTCCTTTTCAAAATACAAAATGGATTTTTTTTTTTTTGACAGGCAGAATTAGACAGTGAGAGAGAGACAGAGAGAAAGGGAGAACGGTCTTCCTTCCGTTGGTTTCCCCCTCCAAATGGCCACTACGGCCGGCGCGCTGCGCAGATCCGAAGCCAGAAGCCAGGTGCTTCCTCCTGGTCTCCCCTGCGGGTGCAGGGCCGAAGCACTTGGGCCATTCTCCACTGCCTTCCCAGGCCACAGCAGAGAGCTGGACTGGAAGAGGAGCAACCGGGACAGAATCCGGCGCCCCGACTGGGACTAGAACCTGGGGTGCCGGCGCCGCAGGCGGAGGATTAGCCAAGCGAGCTGTGGTGCTGGCCAAAACGGATTTTTAAAAAAAATATTAATAAATAAATAGATAAATAAATATATTTATTTGAAAGGCAGAGTTACAGAGAAAGAGAGAGAGGAGAGGTATCTTCCATTTGCTGGATCACTTCCTAAATGGCCACACATGGGTGGCAGGGGTCCAAGCACTAAGGCCATCTTCAGCTGTTTTCTGTGGTGTGTTAGCAGGGAGCTGGATCCGAAGTGAAGCAGCTGGGACTTGAACTGGTGCTCAGGTACGACACCAGCATCGCAGGCAGGGGCTTAACCCATTGTACCTTGATGCCAGCTCCATTAAATTGATATTTTTTAAAAGAGAAAAGAATCCCATAATTACATTACTCTAACTTAAATCTTCGCTTGTGTGTGAAGTGCAATACTGTTTGTATATTTTTAGGTTCTGCTCATATCCATGATTTTTTTACATAATTGCAATTATAATGTGAATGCAAGTTTTACTATGGAATTTTATAATTTTATTTTACATTGAGATTAAAGTAATTTCCCAAGGACTCAAGGTCCAGGCATTCTAGTAATCTGTCACATTCTGAGTCTATTTTGTGACACAGACTGTTCGTTAAACTTTTTTGCTTTCATACTGAGAACCTGCTGTGATCATGTGATTGATTCATCAGATATAGTTGTTAAAGGAGAACAGAATCACAGAAATTACCATTGATGTGTTAGAATAAAATACGAACAGGGCACTTGAGGCAGAACTACAGTGTTGGAAGGCGTAGGACTCCGATTAAACGTAGGTTTTTGAAATGGTTATTATCAGGAGAAACTCTGGGTGGGTTTAGAGGGGAAGTTTGGGCTGGTGGATACTCCATAGTATATGAGGTGGCAGTAAAATTATTTGTATATTGAAAGTCCCATGTGGGGATTATGGTGTTTCTCAACAGGTATGCAAAACACAGGTACAGAGAATTTAAAAACACGGTTTTGGGGATGCATTTGGCTAGTTCATTTAGTCACTGCTTGTTGCCTGGGGTAAGAGTCTCAGCTTCTAGGCTGCTTCAGCTTTCTGCTAATGTGCACCCTAGGAAGCTATAGATGATGGCTTAAGTACTTGGGACCCTGTCACTCAAGGGGGAGACCAAGATGGAGTTCCAGGCTCCGGGCTTCAGCCTGGCCCAGCCCCATCTGCTGTAGGCATTTAGGGGAGTGAACCAGTGACAGAAGTTACCTCTGTCTCTTTGTCTGTCTCTGTCTCTGCCTTTCAAATAAAATGAAAGGAGAAAAAGGAAATGTGGTATTTGAAATCAGCACACTGTGATTGGCATTATAAAACCCTTGCTGCAGGGAAGGGTTCTGGTGCAGGTGTTTCTTCTTCCTTTGGGAGGAGCCTGACCAGATCCTGGCAGGGTCCTCACCCCCAAACACCTAGAGACTGAAGAACCAACTCAAGTTCAGGGAACACTATCAAAGACTCACTTAACGTAAATGGAGATGTGGGTGGACCACAACAGCCTATGGAATAAGACACTTTACTCTTGACAGATGGGGCTAGTTGGACTGGTCAGGAGGGATAAATTGAGCTTGGTTGTGTAGTATTGAGTTTAAATTCACTGAATCATTATTTTCTGAGGTCAGAATTGATTGTAGAGATGTGGCTCATAGTTGAGCCCAAGGGTGGGGAGCAGAGGAAATAGATGGCGATGGGAGTGGAGTGCTGTTAAGTCAATTGCTTAAACTATGTGAGGAGTAAGAGAGGTG